CCACCAGAGAACTCCTAAACCTGATAAACAACTTCATCAAAGTGGCTGGATATAAAATTAACTCAAGCAAATCAGTAGCCTTCCTCTACTCAAAAGATAAACTGGCTGAGAAAGAAATTATGGAAATGACACCCTTCAAAGTAGTCATAGATAACATAAAATACCTAACCAAACAAGTAAACCTAACCAAACAAGTAAAAGACCTGTATGACAAGAACTTCAAGCTCCTGAAGAAAGAAATCGAAACAGATCTCAGAAGATGGAAAGATCTCCCATGCCCATGGATTGGAAGGATTGATATAATAAAAATGGCTATCTTGCCAAAAGCAATCTACAGATTTAATGCAATCCACATCAAAATTCCCACTCAATTTTTCACAGAGATAGAAGAGCAATCTTAAAATTCATTTGGAATAACAAAAAACCCAGGAAAGTGAAATCTACTCTCAGCAATAAAAGAACTTCTGGAAGAATCACCATCCCTGATTTCAAGCTGTACTACAAAGTAACAGTGATAAAAAACTGCATGGTATTGGAACAGAGACAGGCAGGAGGATCAACGGAATAGAACAGAAGACCCAGAAATGAACTCCCATACTTATGGTCACTTGATTTTGACAAAGGAGTTAAAATCATCCAGTGGAAAAAAGACAGCATTTTCAGCAAATGGTGCTGGTTCAATTGGAGGTCAGCATGTAGAAGAATGAAAATTGATCCATACTTATCTCCTTGTACAAAACTCAATTCCAAGTGGATCAAGGACCTCCACATAAAACCAGCTACACTGAAACTAATAGAAGAGAAATTGGGGAAAAGCCTCGAACACATGGGCACAGGAGAAAAGTTCCTGAACAGAACACCAATGGCTTGTGCTCTAAGACCAAGAACTGACAAATGAGACCTCATAAAACTGCAAAGCTTCTGTAAAGCAAAGGACACAGTCAATAGGACAAAGCGACAACCAACAGGTTGAAAAAAGATCTTGACCAACCCTATATCTGATAAAGCACTAATATCCAAGGTGTACAAAGAACTGAAGAAATTAGACTCTAGACAATCAAAGAACCCTATTAAAAAATGGAGCACAGAGCTGAACAAAGAATTCTCAACTGAGGAAGCTCGAATGGTTGAGAAGCACCTAAAGAAGTGTTCAGCATCCCTAGTCATCAGGGAGATGCAAATGAAAACAACCCTGAGATTCCACCTCACACCAGTCAGAATGGCTAAGATCAAAAACACAGGTGACAGCAGATGTTGGCAAGGATGTGGAGAAAGAGGAACACTTCTCCACTGTTGGTGGGATTGTAAACTGGTACAACCACTATGGAAAGCAGTCTGGCGGTATCTCAGAAAATTGAACATAGTGTTACCTGAGGACCCAGCTATACCACTCCTGGGCATATACCCAAAAGATGTTTCAACATCCAACAGGGACACATGTTCCACTATGTTCATAGTAGCCTTATTTGTAATAGCCAGAAGTTGGAAAGAACCCAGATGTCCTTCAACAGAAGAATGGATCCAGAAAATGTGGTACATTCATACAATGGAGTACTACTCAGCTATTAGAAACAATGAGTTCATGAAATTCTTGGGTAAATGGATGGAGCTGGAAAATATCCTGAGTGAGGTGACCCAGTCTCAAAAGAACATACATGGTATGCACTCACTGATAAGTGGATATTTGCCCAAAAGCTCACAATACCTAAGACACAACACATAGACCACATGAAACTCAAGAAGAGGAAGGAAGACCAAAGTGTGGGTGCTTTGGTCCTTTCTAGAAGGAGTATCCAAAGTTTCAACCAGAGCTCCCAAAGTCTAAACCTCCAGCCTGAGAGCACAAAGGGAGGAACTCATGTCTCCACCTATATAGGTAATTGAGGGTGGCCTTGTCAGACATCAGTGGAAGTGGGGGGCCATGGTCCCCGAAAGTTTGGATTCCCTAGTGTTGAAGAATTTGAGAGCAGGGAGATTGGACTGGGAGGTTGTTTGGAGCACACCCTCATAAAAATAGGAGGAGCGGGTATGGGATAAGGGATTTTGGGGGGGATTGAGATAGGAGATAACATTGAAAGGTAAATACGTAAAATATCCAGTAAAAAAACAAAACAAAACAGATAAAGGGTCTGAAAAAGAGAGAGAGAGAGAGAGAGAGAGAGAGAGAGAGAGAGAGAGAGAGAGAGAGAGAGTGTTTCCTTAATTCATATTATTTTCAAAAGTTTCTAGGAGATGCTAACTGGCTAAGATCTTACTTTAAGGTCTCCACAAAAGAATTTAAGTCTCTGTTTAATATTCTCAAGAGAGATGTAAATCCTAATTTCTCTCAACAATTAATTGACAAAAGAGAAATAATCTCACAAAAAGTAGAAGAAGCTATTATTAATCGATATATTATATAGTCTGATTAGTTGTTGGCTGTGCTATAACAGTCCTTTGATAAAGAGATTATTAATATAGATTTATATATCTTTAAATAATGTCCGCCTGACTCTCTTAGTGTGTAAGGAGCAATTGTTGGTGCTTCTGCTCTGATTTTACAGGAACTCTGAAAAATTGGCTTTAAAAACAAAAGAAGAGGAACGGTACCCACCCCCAAGAAGGAGTCCCCCTGAAATACTCTCCATCATGCCTTGTTCACTTTTAACTCTCTAAAACTGAAAGCTCATGGGAAATCTGCTGTTGACTGCCTCTGGCATCACCGAGACCAACAAAAACTATGCCACAGATATGGGGAAGAACCCTCTTATCCTTAAAGGGAATGGCCCAGACCCAGTTCCCTTATGGGGCTGAGGATTGATATGCCTGTCTGATACTACAGAAGGCACAGCTAATTGGCTACCAAAAAGATTAATGAAATAAATAGATACCCTCACAAAGCAATATTCTCAACAATAAAAGAACTTCTGGAAGAATCACCATCCCTGACCTCAAGCTGTACTACAGAGCAATAGAAACTGCAAAACTTCTGTAAAGCAAAGGACACTGTCAATAGGACAAAATGGCAACCAACAGATTGGGAAAAGATCTTTACCAATCCTACATCTGATAGAGGGCTAATATCCAATATATACAAAGAACTCAAGAAATTAGACTCCAGACAACCAAATAACTCTGGGGTATAGAGCTTAACAAAGAATTCTCAACTGAGGAAACTTGAATGGCCGAGAAGCAACTAAAGAAATGTTCAGCATCCTTAGTCATCAGGGAAATGCAAATGAAAACAACCCTGAGATTCCATCTCACACCAGTCAGAATGGCTAAGATCAAAAACTCAGGTGATAGTAGATGCTGGTGAGGATGTGGAGAAAGAAGAACACTGCTCCATTGTTGGTGGGATTGTAAGATGGTGCAATGACCCAGCTATACCACTCCTGGGCATACACACAGAAGATGCTCTAACATATAACAAGGACATATGCTCCACTATGCTCATAGCAGCCTTATTTATAATAGCCAGAAGCTGGAAAGAACCCAGATGTCCTTCAACTGAGGAATGGATACAAAAAATGTGGTACATTTTCACAATGGAGTATTACTCAGCTATTAAAAATAATGAATGTGAGAAATTTTTAGGTAAATGGATGGAACTAGAAAATATCATCCTGAGTGAGGTAACCCAATCACAAAAGAACACACATGGTATTCACTCACTGATTATTGGATATCACCCCAGAAGCTTGAAATACCCAAGACTCAACTCACAGACCACATGAAGCTCATGAAGAAGGAAGACCAAGTAGGGGAGCTTCAGTCCTTCTTAGAATGAGCAACAAAATACTCAAGGGAGCAAATATGGAGGCAAAGTGTGGGACAGAAACTGAAAGAGGGGCTGTCTGGAGACCATTCCACCTGGTTATCAGTCACCAAAAGTAGATGCTGATGTGGAAGTCAGGAAGTACATGCTGACAGGAGCCTGATATAGTTGTCTACTTAGAGGTCTGCCAGAGTCTGACATAGTCAGAGACAGATGCTCACAGCTAACCATTGAACTAATCAAGGGATTCCCAATGAAGGAGTTAGAGTGAAGACTGAAGGAGCTTAAAGGTTTTGCAGCCCCATGAGGAGAGCAACAATACCAACCAACCAGAGCATCCCGGGTCTAAACCACCAGCCTGGGAGCACTTAGGGAGGGATTCATGGCTCCAGCTATATATGTAAGGGAGGATGGCCCTGTTGGGCATAGGTGGGAGAAGAGATCCTTGGTCCCATGAAGGCCGGACGTCGTGCATAGGGGATTTCGAGGGTGGAGAGGTGGGAGTAGGGGGTAGGTAGGGGCATATCCTCATAGAAGCAGGAAGATGGGCGATGGGATGGGGGTTCCTGGGCGGGGGGTGGGGGGAAATGAGGTAAGGGGATAACATCTGAAATGTAAATAAAATATCCAATTTAAAAAAAAATAGAAAGCAGGAGGAAGAAGAGAAAAAAAGGAGGAGGAAGAAGAGGAGGAGGAAGAGGAGGAGGAAGAAGATGAGGAAGAAGGAGGAGGAGGAGGAAGAGGAGGAAGGGAGGGAGGGAGGGAGGGAGGGAGGGAGGAAGGAAGGAAGGAAGGAAGGAAGGAAGGAAGGAAGGAAGGAAGGGGAAAAAAAGGATCTGATCTGATGAGTGACAGGACAGAGGTAGTTAATTGGCTTTCATTTAAGGTTTAGATTTTTGTTTTGTTTTACTTACTGTTGGACAATTGAACACATCTGATCTTTCAGAACTTCATAAGTGTCACATCCTAAACTTTAGGACCTAAAGGGAAGTTTCTGACTCAATTAACTTTCACTATAGAATACTACCAAAGGTAACCTATGTAATAGCAAAATGAAGACAGTTGCTTCTAATGAGAAACTGTAAAAGTGTAACTCATTACCACAGAATAAACAGAAGGCACCATTACACACAGTACTTCATGATCACTAAAGGTAACTCTATCATAAATGAAAAATCAAATCCTAGCAATGTCCACATTTAGGTTTACTATATTTTTAAAAGCAAATTAATTAGTAACCTACCGTCTGTCTGAGATTTGCTGAGGAATATTGTGCTGGCCCGAGGATGGTCTGAAGGATTGAATTCCATGTTTAAATCTTTAAGGAAAGAAAAAAAATTAAGTAAATTAGCAAGTTGATAATTAGGAAGAGTCATGATTAATTTTCAACTTCTCCATCTTAAACTGTTGGTATATTCTATGACTGTGGAAGCCAGTTTTTATGTTACTAGATCCTTTTGGTTCCATTAAGAACACTGCTATTGGAAACTCTGGAAAAACAAAAACAAAAACAAACAAACAAACAAACAAACAAAAAAACCCACCCATATCTGATATGCTCCACAGGGGAGCTAGTGGCCTGAAACTCCACTGTGTTTTGCAAAGTTTCCTCTGCACTGAGAGGCCCTGAAAAGGTAGGGTAGACTATACACACAATTCTGTGTAAGTTTTATACCTATGTCAGGGCATGTGCTCAGAAGTGAGCAAATGAGGCCTGAGGTCATTTCAGGTCACAGGCATGTTCATGCTAAAAGATAGCGTTTGAAGCATATGGGTCCTGTGGGATATGATGTGGGCCATGGCAGGTATTCTATTCAATCCAAACTTAAAAGAAAAACCAGACTAACACATAGCAATTTGAAGGTTTTGAGAGCACAGAGAGTCATGTGCATGACCCTTTTGAGCATGTGTGCATGTACACACACACCCAGAGAGAAGCATACACCCTTATTTTCAACCTCTATGGACAATCAAGCTCTCTGGTAGCACTAGGTCCCTCAGATATGGCAGGGGCTACAAGTCTTTGTTCTAGTCTTCCTGTCTTCCCATTCGCAAGGGCATTTGGTTTGCAGCCCTAGCTTTATCTCCAAGGATCAGGGTCTTCTCTACTTAGCTCAATATCTTAGTATTCTATCAAAAAATGTCCCAGTCTAAGTTATACAATAACAAAAGAACTGTCTGACTTCATAGCTGGGGAAATGGGTAATCCATGTAGGAGAATTAAGTTCAGGGAGAAAAGAGAATCTTAAACATTCTAGAAAGCCTGAATAACTATTCAGCTCCACTTACAGTACCAGAAAGAAATTATTTGGAATTAATCCATTCCAACAAAATCTTCAAGAACCCAATCAACACTAAATAAAACAGATAGTGCCTGTCTTTAGCTTTAAGAATCAATGAGCTAATGATAAAAGGAGAAAAAAAAACCCAAGATAGTCACAAAGATGAGGAAGACAACACTAAATGCTTAGTCACAAAGGTGCTGACATATTCTGGGCAAACATAAATGGGAGGCAAGTTCTTGCACATGAACAGTTTTTAACTGCTTACCAAATTTGATTAAAGAAACAAAGTCTAAGGAGATAGATGTCTTTGTGGTTAAAGTGCTTGCTTGGTAATCGAGAGGGCTACAGTTTGAATCATCAGAGCCCACCTAAATGCTGAGTAGTTTTGGTGACTCACCTGTAATTTCAGTCTTAGGAAGAGACAGGGTGTATTAGTGAGCTACATGTCTGACTGAAAGATCCTGTCTCCAAGAACAAGGTGTAACAGATCAAAGAACAAGGCTTCTTCACGTACATCCACACATATCTGCATCTGCCCAGCTGAAATAAACACATGGTTTTCTAGAGCATAATGACATCTCTGTACTAAGTTCCTTAGAGTCTGGACACTGATTAGGCAAATGCTCTGAACCTGGGAAGAAATTGTGGAATAAAGTGAGGACCATGACTGTGGATATGTTGTGGAGTGAGGAGTAGCAGGAGGAGGGGGCAGTCTACAGAATGATTTTCTTATGTCCTTACATATTCAGGCAACTAACTACAACAGAAACAATACACTTGGCTATACCATATATGGGTAAGCAGAGATAGCTGCATAACTAATCATGTGTTTCTACTTGTAAACCTTAGCCCATTCTTTTCATAAATATACAACAGAAAGAGGGTAGTGAACAGGTCACTGGTCATAAGTGCTCCCAAAGAATGCCTAAGATACTGACTCTTAAAAGGTACAGAATTAGTTAGCAACCAGTCAAGCTTCTCAGCTTCTGGATAGTCTCACAGATCCATCTGTATGCTTCCTTGTAAAATTCCAATTACAACAAAGCTTGGAAATCAGCTTCTAAGACATGCCCCATATCTGATCATCTTCCAGTCTCCTAGTGATGCCTGTTTACTCCAGTTTTCTTAAAGAACCCTGCAGTGGTAAAGGATGGGCACTAAATGGGTCAACCAACATCCCTCCCTGCCCCAAAGGCCACTAACTCCACAGTGTTCACAGACAAATCCACAAAAACTACCCCCTAGGAAAACACCTAATACTACTTTTCCTTCAGGAGAAGAGGGTGGTATTACTCGCAAACTTCTGTTAAACAAGGAACACATATGGAACACCTCCTGCTGATAGTATTGTTCTCAAAATAACCAGTAGAAAAAAGAAACTAAAAAAATTAAATAGTTAAATTAACAGGCATTAAAATTTTCAAAAAAAAATTGAATTCCCATTTTTACATTTAGGATTTTCTTAGAATTTTGTTTTAGGAGCAGCCTGACACCAATTTTTAATTCATGATTTTAGCACGTGTTCTGAATAGTTTTATGTTAACTTGACAAAGGCTAAAGTCATGAGAGAGAAAACCTCAATGTGAAAATGCCTTAATAAGATCTACTGTATGAAACCTGTAGGCCATTTAATTAATTAGTGATGAGGGATGTCATAGAGCATTATATGGGTGGTGTCATCCCTGGGTTGGTAGCCCTAGGTTCTATAAAAAAGCAGGCTTAGCATGCCATAGGAAGGAAACCATATAAGTAGCACCCTCCATGGCCCCTGTATTAGCTCCTGCCATCAGATTCCTGCCCTGTTTTGAGTTAGTGTCTCAATTTCCTTTGAGAAAATAAACCCTTCCCTTCCCGAGTTACTTTTGCTCATAGACTTACATCACAGCCAAAGAAACCTTAACTAGAAAAGCATGGGGCTCATATAACTGAGCCTCTTAAGAGGGAGTTTAAAGCTGGGGCCAGTGAAATAGCTCAGTGGGTGAAGTGTCCCAAACCTACAACCTGAGTTTGATCCCTAGAATCTACATGGTAGAAGGAAGAACTAATTCCTGAAGTTTTCCAGTTTTTTACATGTGCACTGTGGCACAATCATGTATGTACACACACACACACACACACACACACACACACACACACACACACGGAGGAGAGAGAAGGGGAGGACGAAGAGGAGGAGGAGGAAGAGGAAGAGGAGGCTGAGTTTGTATCAAAGTATAATAAATGTGCAGGCATCAATAATGATGAAATAAGGTATCTTGCAACTCAGCAATAATCAGGCACATTATAAAGAACCAAACAAAAGCAAGACCTCCCTGGGTTGCGTTCCAGCATCCAATACTACAGGACACAGGGAAGCTATCTAGCCAAGGCATGTGGACAGATGACTAAGAGCATCAAAGGCAAGGAACAGAGTTTCACTGGACAGAAAGGAGACATCATCACCAGGGATGTTAAGGTGTCTAGAATCAAACACATGGAAATGGGTGGGGCTGAGAACTGAAGTCACAGCTATAGAACAGGAAGCTATCTCTGAGAATGTAAGAGGAAAGATCATCAATGGTGATCACATTAAATACCAGGAAAAACACATACAATTCAGGACAATGGACTCAAGTGCAAGCAACCTTGGCAGGATAGCTAACAGGAAGGTACTCTAAGCATGATACTGTCGCACTTCCCCCAGGATTTTCAGGAAAAACAAAAAACAAAATGCTTTCTCTCTGAATCACAGACACAATATTAATAGGTGACAAGGTAGGCAGAACATAAGTCTGTTCCTACAGCTATTTTAAACCCAAGAACCTCAATATTATTTTCAACCAGTCCATGTCACTTAGATCCCTTCTAGGATTTCTGACAATCAAATCTAGTCATGTGAGCAAGTGACGTAATTATCTACCAGAATTTCACTTTCAGACCAGATAAATATTTTTAATTCTTTCTAAAATTTTAACTTCCTATTTCATTTTGTAACTGCAAATCCCACCACACACACATTCCAGTTCAGGATAATGTATCTGTAAGGAGAAAACCCAACCACTGAAGGTCACCTCAAACAGAAGGAAATGAGAAGCATAACAAATGATGAAATAAGATGTGACTAAAAAGGCAGAACTGTTTAGAATTCAAACAAGACTGTTATGCTATAGGAAAAGGCTCTAGGCTGCCAAATGGGTAAGATTTGCATTCAGAACTGCTTTGCTGAAGACCAAAGAAATGTATATTAGCATTCTGCCATCAAAAGATTTAAAGTGTGACCTAAAACCACCAGTGTGTTTATCTCATTTGCAGAGTTGAACCAATGATAAGGCAATTAACTCGGCACCACAGAAGCCCCACTATAAATATTTTTGTTCCATCCAAGCATACAAGTGTGCCCACATCTGGCTCTGGTCAAGGTTGCACAGAAATGAGACAGGAAGAGATGTCATATCTTTTTATAACATATCTAGTCAGGTCCCTTTAATAACAACTTTGATTTCCTTTTCTAATTCTCTTATCAAGATTAGGTGCCACACTATGGAGCCAAAGGCCAATTTAATGTGGCTTATGCTGCTTGTGTCACAATGCTGCTTATAGTCAAGGTGAAGTCCATCCATCTCTGGCAAACCTATCCTTGGAAGAGTTCAGTGCTTGACTACAATGGCTCTGCCCTAGATGCCTATGCTCTCTGGGAAAATGGTTTCTCTCTCTGCTGCCAAAGGTGCTGACTCTAGGTGCTGAAAGACCCTAGACTAGGAGGAGCTTGTGCACTAACAGTAAAACAAACAAACAAACAACACTTTGGTGGCATTTTCTTCTGATACTTTGTCCTGAAATAGAATGTGTGAGGTGGAGTTTGCAGTTACAGAGTGAAATAGAAGTTAAAATTTTATAAAGAGAATTAAAGTATTTATCTGGTCTGAAAGTGTGTGAAAATCTGGTAGGTGACTACCTCATTTGCTTACATGATTAGATTTGAAATCAAAGGGCAAAGAACTTCACTTCCTCAGTTCTCAGGCTAGTCTTATCACACACAGAAAACGCAAAAGCT